TGTGCTGTAAGAGAAACTAGTTATTTTATTTCATATTCTTACTTTATTCAACATAACACAAAATGAAAACAAGCAAATAAATCACAACTCAAATATATTTATGCCCGCATACAGAATTTAAAAAGAAAATGAACATGAAATAAAAGTATAAAGTAATAAGTAAAGTAAAGTATAAACAAAATTCATCTCTCGGGTGTTTGCTGGAAAACACATATTTTCGTGTGGAGTCACTATTCCTCGCCTAGCGCTGCTTGTGCTTGCGCCTATACACCCCTCTGTGGAGTTGGAGGGGAAGTGAGAGCGGAGTGAGGGGAAGTGGCCCGTGCTCGCAGGGCGCCGGGCTTCCCATGCGGGCAAGTGGCTCGTGCAGTGTGTATACCTGGTCCAGAATGTGTCTATAGCATTTTGTGGGCGCTAACAATCTCTGGAAAGGACATCTCGTACTCCCCCTCGGCATCGAAGGCAGAATTGGAGGAGATGCTGGGAAAGGATTGAGAAGAAAATATCACAGGTGGCCCACAACCCTTCGTACAGGGTTCTCCTCTGGCATTCACCTGGGAACGATTCGAAAATAAAAACACTGATCAGGGAAGTCGGCCTTTGATTCGACAGGCAACACAACCTCACATCAAGTAAATTCTCTGCACCTTGCCAGGATCGATCGGCAACTTCCCAATCATTACAGTGTTCAGAAATAACATTGAGATAATAATTTGTGTGAATTAAAATAAGATTATTACATAGGCCTGTATTCTACAGACTTGTGCAGAACTAAACACATTATTTTTTTTAAATAATTATCTTCATAATTAGAATATGTCAAGTTACGAATGAGATGTCTTTCTGATAAGAAGGAACGCTAGAAATTGAAATAGCTGTCTCACTCTATCTAAAAATAATTCGACAACTTGGCTCCGTACTCATTTGTCTAAAAATACCACGGAGTAAGATAAATCTGCGTTGATTGAAAGTCGTATTGACGTCAGGAAAAATATCAAGGTCGATACAACACTTTCTCATGTTTCAAAGCATTCTAAGAAAAGAGTAAACATAATACCGATTATAATTTCTATACATTCTACAATGGACCGTTGTTACATAAATATAGATTATAAATTATGAATTATTGTTATGTTGTATTATTATTGTTATTATTAAAAATAATTACTATTATTATTAATTACTATTACTATTATTGTTGTTGTTTTATTTTATGAATATCATTATTAGATATACTTTTACACCGTAATAGTTTAAGGCGAATTAAGAAACAAAATATTTTTGGGTGTAAATACATTCTCCACAGAAGGAATAGCTGATATTCGTATTTCTCTCCTGAACTTATATAAACCAGGCCTTGATGTGTACAAGGCCTGTAACCTGCACAACCTCTAAAGGAAGACAATTATCAATTTGCGGTACTTTGTTTACATGAAGTAACATATTGTATGGAGTATTACGAAGGTCGACACATCAACACGCAAGTCCTATTTAGGACTCTCACATACATCATTCACCTTGACGACAATGGTTGCGAGGCACGGAGTGCCTTCACCGACAGAAAGTGCGGTACACAGCCCTACCAAGCTCTTATGTCGATACGGATCTTAGTATTAAAGGGAAAGTGGCGCCGTTCCTCAGGCTTCAACGGAGGCTCAGATTAACATCTCGAGGAAGCACAAGCGAAGAGAAAAAGAAAAAGAATTCTCAAAAGCGATTAGCAAAAAATTAACTTTAAAAACGTAAGCTTCAGTGTATTATTTTCAAGATTCTTGTTCCAATTTTAACATCATTATCACATACCCAATTCCGTAATCGTGCCTTTTGGAGGGGACAATGAAAGTGATTTGCCCCACACCCCAATATTTCAATTTTCTTTCAACGAAAATAAGCATGAATATAATATGTTAAACATGTTTTAAGTTGTAGTGTTATTCCTATCTGATAATTACAAACTGAAAAGGGAAATTTATAATGAATAACAATTTAAAGAGATTTCCTTTTTATTCCACATCAGACACGGCGTCTTGGAAGTGTAGGTAACACAGTTTGGGCGGCAGCATTCTGATGCCACCGTTTCCATGTGTGGGCGTCGATCGTTTGCCAGCGACTCACAAGCAATTGTTGATCCTAAGAATATTTTCTGCGGTGTGTGTGAGTGTGTGTATGTATGTGTGTGGAGGGGAGCGTTTCCATAATAAGCAATAATAATAATAATAATAATAATAATAATAATAATAATAATAATAATAATAATAAGTCAGCCCTGTGGTTGGTTGCGGCAGTCGTAGCCTGCGCCGAGGAGGCTGCAGGTTCGAGTCCTGCGTAGACATGGTCGTATTCGTCCCCTCGGTCCCTTCTCCCCTCATCATCATCCTCTCATCTCATAATTCACATTCCAAGGCATAACAACCTTGTCGTACATAGGGATGCAGCTGAAAAGCTAATCCTGAAAACATTACACACGTTAAACGTGTAGTGTGATCAGTAATAGCTTTAACGCCAATAATAATAATAATAATAATAATAATAATAATAATAATAATAATAATAATAATAATAATAATTTAAAAAATTGACTAGAAATCAAGCACCTATTTCTCAATGAGTGAACGTACAGCATTTGTCCTGGACGTCTTCCAACTCAGGTTGCACACAGCGGATGGTTTACATTTGTTATTTCTCAGTTGTAAGGTGCTGATGTAATTTTTTTTGTTGTTACCGATCGAGCGTGTGCCTGTAATGAGCGACTGGTGAAGGGAAAGTAAGGGCCAGTAATTTACTATTTTTTAATTTTTTATTTAAGGTCGCATCAACATCTGGGTTATTAGTGACCACTATTACACGTTACACATTGAACGGTATGGTAACTGTGAAGATGATATGGTATGGTGATGATAGGGGGTGAAAGGACGAACACAAATACAATGTCCATGCACGAGGCGGGACTCGAGCCTGCGATCCTTCGGGGAGAGATCGCTACGGCACTACTGCCTTGCCAATCTCGGCCATTCTGACATGCTTTCGTTATTTTGCTTTGAAATATGTTTTTCATAATTAAGTTTGTAAACAAGCATTCACGAGATTAAATGAAATATCGCACGTTAAGGCTCAATGTCTGAAGGTATTCTTTAGTCAGGTCTGTCTCAAAAAGATGGAAGAGAAAAGAATAATGACAGATCTCATGCTATCAAGTACAAAAATCGTCTTAAGATAAAACAACACAGAAAATCTTCCCAAGAAAATTTTACACTACTCATCACATTCAGAAGTTTATGGAGAATAAACTGTACGTCAAAATAGTCTGTTCACAAAAAATTATCGCTATATCGAAAAGCAGTTTTCACTTAACAATGCGGAATCATGGGGCAAGTAACTTGCTTTAGATATATGGTCAATTATATTTTTAATTGTAGATAAATTTGAACATCTTTGATTTTTTAAATGGAACTATATATTTTTCTTAACAGCAATAGATAGATCATGAAAAGAGGAATAAAATGATGTATCGTATGTTAGTATTTTGATAGTAATTTGAAAATAAAATGAGACTTTCTGACATGTGATTTTTAAGTAAACACAGATTTTCTGTAGCAGCCCTTGCAACAGTCTCTGTTGGGGAAAGTGGCGTCCCCGATGTCGATACTGCTTCGTAGAGATAGAGGTCTGAGCGGGGTGATCGTGAAGGATAAATACCATAACTATAGCAATCACGGTCTTGACATGAAGAACATATCAACAAATATCAATATTAACGATCAGAATGAGAGATTGTTCCCCATTTGTTCTTCTGAATTTAACTTTTCTTCTACTGAAATTCCAAAGCAATAATAATCGACACAAACAAAATTTTAAAAAATGTAGCGGATGGACGATAGTACTAAAGGTGATTTTCAAATTTACAAAAATCGAGTTCATTGTGATATTGCAGAAACAAGCCACCATTTTAAAACATGGGAAGGGAATGAATACTTAAAGATTTTCATTGTAATATCTCGATTAATTCATTAAATAACAGATAGGTAGATATTTTCTCGTATTATTTTCTGTTAATAAATTCCTTTTTTACTTCCCGTATACCTACGTATATACGGAGTAATAGGAAAAGTTATGTAATGCTGCGGAAAATCCCAAAAGTTCTCCGGACATTTTCAAACTTGTCACAAAAACGACTCCAAATTTTTCCTATAAACTTAAGGTAGAGATAGTTCTAAATGCACTCGTAAGATGACATAAACGCCATATAGCTCTATTCTTTTGCTTTTTGAAAAACTACAAAAATGGAATTTTTTTGACTAGTCGCTGCCGTCGATAATATTTACACTAGCGGCAATTTCCTGACATTAATGTTTTTATGAGTATATGTGCTTGAAATAATGCGAGATAAAGTTGCCCGAAAACTCAACAGTTTCCCGTGAAAATGAGCTCAAAACTCCGCACTTTCAGAAACACTCAAACACCATTTTCTTAAAAACGGCTCCAACTTTTTTCTTCAAACTTTTCCAACAGATAGAGCGAATTGCACTATTTAAGATAGCAAATAATTATTTTGTTGTATTCATTTGTCCGCATTGATTCCGCATTGTTCAAGGAAAACTTCATTTCGATATTCTGAACCGTCTCTAAGATTTCGGGGTAGTCCATAGTTGGTGTGACACCTGCATATTATTTATGTGCACTAGTAAAAGTTTCTTAGAACAATACAATGTGGTATTTTTGTGATTCATTGTAAGAAATTTGGTTGGTAATTCTGCATTGAAATGAAAAACAATACAAGTTCACTGTTTTTGTTTAAATTATAATACATTTTGAATAAAGTTTTTTTAGGAATTATTTCTCAGAACATATCCTTATCACTTGGTACAGCATTATTGAAATAAGAAAATTGTTTAAATCTGAAAAATAATTGATAAAAACAGTTTTTTGACATATACAATGAAACATTACAGTTTGAATTACTTAAAATGAACTTTCTGGGCTAGGGCTGTTTTCTCACTTACCCATTCAATTGCTGATCTTCATTAACAATTATTTACAAAAATAGTCATCAATCCTTCCTGTACAAAGATGTGTTTATTCTTACTGGGAAATTATTGATGAGGGTTAGGTTATAATGATTGATTGATTGAATAAGTATTTCGCGTTTCCGGGCGCGTCATCTTCTAAGGTTCCTTAGGTGTAGTGCATGTTTTTCTCTCGGGAGGTGGAAGCGATCTTCTCCAACAGGATGATGAGACATCGCCCAAGCCGGTGAAACTCTCTACTTCCAAATGGTCTCCCGCATTTGCGCTAGTGTAGTACTTGTAATTGTAAGTAAGGGGTGAAATATCGCGCGCGGTCCGTGGCCTGTTCGTTAGGGTTCTGCTCCGGCATTTGCAATGAGTTAACTTGCTTTAGTTTCCACAACAGTTTGTTAACAGCAAAATTTGAAAAGCATTGAATGAGCCTATAAGTTCTGGTCTCTCCTCGTTAGGATTCATTCCCAAGACGTAGTTGCTTCAATGCGCTCAGGAATTTAGAATTTAATAGCCGCAACTCACAACTGTATTCTATCCAAGGACTTTCCGGTTTGGTGCACACCGACTGATTAAAATGCAGTCTCATGGGATCGTTATTATGGCTTTTTAAGGTCGTTTTCACTATTGCCTAGCAAGTATCAAATGTTTCATAAGACAATCATTAATTATTGTAAGTGTAGTATCACATGTGGTGTTGTACATGTAACTCCTTAGTAAATACTATTACATAGGTTTATAAGAAATTTATATGTCCTGTAGCTACGAATTACTCATTCGTGAGTGCATACATCTTTTTGTCTTCGGCTAAGTAGTAGAACTATTCTACCACTCGTAAATTTAAAAATATGAATTAACAAGAAATATGGATGTATCAGCGCAGCAACTTCAGCAATGGATATATGTGGATTTATTTGAATGTTCTTCAAAATATTGTTGCATGTACATACTTCATTGGAACAACTCTGACATGTAAACCTTACGTTGATTTGCTTTGCCGTGTAATTAGTCAATCCCATCCTTAAAAAAAGTTGTTTGAAACATACTATCTGGATAATGGTTAAAACTTATATATTGCAATTATTGTGATTGATATTTCTTTTATCCTTATTAAACCATACTTATTTTAATTCTGCGCTTTTTAACGGAGGACCACGGCTCCCTGGTCCGTCTCGGTGCAGCCCACGGTATATACTACGTAGAACTGAATTTGAATAAATTAAGAAAATTCAACACTGTTTATCTGCAAAATAAGATTTCCTTATTCTATCGGACCTTTATAAAACAAGAGGAAAACAAAATGAACGCTTTTGTCTATTTTACTCTTTCATTTTATTCTAGCAAGAAAAAGCCTGAATAACCTGAATAACACTTCCTTACCTTTCCGAGAAACACCTACCGGAATGGAATAGCGACCTTTTGTGGGCGGCAGGTAGAAGGCTTTGGAAAAGTGGTATCACGCGGGGCGTTGGGGTTTCGGCCGCCCTTGAAACGAAAGGGTTTGTAGCTTTCCTTCTACTCCTCGGCGCCAGTGGAGTCGGAAGCGCCAGTGGTTTCCCAGGGCTGACTCACCTCCACCGTACGTCCTCGCTCTGCGCTGATTCACGCGTCGCGTCGCGGCCGCACACACGTCATTGCACGCGTCACCCACTCGCTGGCACTACCTCACACGCACCTCGCGCGCGGCGCCAATGAACACCTCTGACAGCGCGCGTGCCCCCCCCCTCCCCCACGCCCTGGAAATTCTGCAAGGGGCCCCGTAGCCTTCTGTCCATCTGCCAGTCCGCCCGAGGGAAACTAGCGCGTAAAGCCTGTTTTACACGGTCATTTTTGCATCCATTTTTCATCATTTTTCTGTACAGTAAATGGATGGAAAAAGGACGTTCGTTTCTACGCAGTATGTTTCGGTGCCGAAACTGGATGAGAGTGACTCCAGCGTTTTACATGATCATTTCTGTCTTTGTACGTAATCGTGAAGAAAATACTTCCTCCGGTCGCCGCATATAGCGCTGAAGTTCACACATTTGAACATAGCATCTGTGGTAACAAATTAAGTTGGGTTATATTAGGACTGAGCACGGATGCGATAATATCAGAAAACAGTAATACAGAATAATTTATTTCTCATTACATAACCACTTCACATTACAATTCAACACATCAGAACGCTCTCAGGCAACTACAAAATTATCATATCGTTCCACACGCATAACAAACTAGATATTGTCCCCTAAAGTGCCGCCAGGAGCGCGGTAGTCAAACTGGATGAAATCCGTGCCGAAAAATTAAGCATGCGTCATTTTTTCGTACAAATTACATCCAGTTTGACCTGTATCTTTTCTGTACCGGCGAAAAATGATGAAGAAATGATCGTGTAAAACACGCTTAAGATTTTGGTGGTTCCCGACCGATAACGAATATGTTCTTTTTATTACAGAATGTCTCTGTCCGACCGCCCCTCTGGCTATCCGACAGTCTGTGTGTCGGACAATCTACCCACTCTCCGTCCCCCGACTGGCCTGTCCGCCCGTCTGTTATTATTGTTGTACTATATGTCCCATGATGTAATCACGAGCGGATCCAGCCGATCACTTTGGAGGGGGCCATCATAGATTTTTGTTAAATAATAAATATTTGCTGTTATATTGTGTATTATTTTTGTGGTGTATAAATGATACTATACAATATTATTCTTTAAATAATTACATAATTCTAGCATAAATAGATATTTAAATCAATTTTACCAAATAAAATAAGGTAACAATAGAAAACTTCAGTCCTTTCTTTTTGGGGGGGGGGCATGGGGGCCATACCTCCCACCTCGATTCGCCTCTGGATGTAAACATACACGTTCCAGATGTCATCGGTTATCAGTTCATAATCTATTTTGTAATTCCAAATGACCTTTGAAATATACTCGTATTGTCAATATTCTTCTGTATGTTTCACATGTTGGTCGCTACATAATTTGTTAGTTATGCGACTTATAAATAATGGAAATAGCATACGAAAGTGTACTAGAAACTTCTTTAAATTCTTTTAAATTCTTCTTTAAATAATTTCTCTACAGTAAGCACGAAAGTAAAAATTATAACATGTACCATAAATTTTTCATAAACAATCACAAATTTCTGCTTGGAGAAACTACCTCCGTGGAGATTTGCTTTCCGTAGCATGTATTACGGAGGCAGCGCTAGCGCCGCCTGTTGCTTCAGAGAGGCTCTGCGCCGACGCGGCACCTGTGACGTAGTTAGCACGTCGCGACGCCATCGATTGTCATTTGTCATTCCCAGAAAGCGCGCACCCCTTCCCTCCCAGCACTAATGAGACATTTCGTCGGAAGCAGTCTTGCGACGTTATCACCAGAGATCGATAACTTACCATCTTTTTATCGATGCATCATTGGCAATACAGGTGAAAAAACGGTGAGCCAAAATGCGTGAAGTATGAACTGTTATAAAAAACGTACCACTGCCATCACAAAATCATTATTCTTTTTCTAATATCATGAATCAAACGAAATGACATTTGAAGCAAATTATGAAAATTCTCATGAAAAACAGTTCTCAGTGACATTACAATTTGTGTAAGGGCCTTCCATTTCTTTCTCGGTAACAGCGTATGTAGCACGTATTCTGTATTTTTTTATTGATCTTGGAACATGTTCTGCCTTCTGCCAGAGGCAAATACGGCCTCAGCTCAAAACACAATTTTTTTTAACGTTTTTAACATACCGGTAACCCAAATTTGAGAAATGTATGTGATGCTTTCAAACTTTATTCACTGTAAACGACTTGAGGTAAATGCATGTCATTGCATATTTATATAAATGTGATGGACATATACTTATTTGATTAATGGACCTCCAAAATGTCCTCGCTAAGGGATCACCGCACATGTATCCAGCCATGAGATAATTATCTTGAATAATATGACTATTACGAATGTGTATATTTTATTTTATGCCATCGTCTTGAATAAATCGAGTAAAATTACAAATAAAGTGAATGTGAGGTGATGGAGGGGCCATTGGACATTGCCAGGGGACATTGCCTCCACCCCAAAACATCTCAGCTCATCATATGCCTATCCAACTATTTCTTCTCTAACCTATTCCAAATATCAATAACGCCTAAATTCAACCAAGTCAGAAACTCCAACTACACTATAGGGATAACAATAGAATTCAGGACATTCGAAATATATTTCAGAGCAAAATTGTTTATTTTAGCACAACCAAATAGTATATCAAGTCAACAATTAAACAGAAGGTCAAGATAAATTACATTGCACACTTTCAAGAATAACAGTGTGATCTCTATTTTTCTTTTATGAATTTTCCTTACTTTTCAGGTTATCCTTATGACAAAATTTGTGAAATATTTCCGGTTATTTAAATAAAATATTAAATAAAGCGTGACTTTGGTCCATATTAAAACTCTGTTATTCACTTAGCCCTTTCCCACTTTGAATTCCAAATTCTCTTGCATTACCACATTAGGAGAGAAGATGCATTTCGATTTAAAACACAGTCCCTTTTCTTTATCTATTTTTCCGCTCTCAGATGGCATGTAAAAAGACAAAAATTACAATATTTGCTAAACAAAGGAATTGCGTTCTCGGTTGTCGCGCATAGGTCTGTGACGTAGTTCACAGGTAGTCCCGAAACGCGTTTTTTTTGTATGACTGTGTGGAATTATAATAAAGTAGAAAATTCAGGACATTGGGCAGGAACAAAGCAAAATCTGGCAGGACAGCAGGACACATGTCTATATTCAGAACACAAACTGCTTTTTCAGGACGTATGGCAATAACCATATACTACAAGAATAAAAAAGTAATTAGTATCATTCCACGCATTCCTAAAAATCGTCTCCAAATGGACCCTAATTAAAGGGGACGAGCCGGTTTCGTCAACCACAATGCTAGTTAAAGGTATAGTTTCAGATATATTTAATAAATCAACAATAACTAAGATATGTATTTGTCATCATACGGAAAAATAAACTAATTTAAAACTACTTGGATCTGTGCTAACTTTTGGAAAGTTGGAAATCATTGTTTTAGAAATGAAACATACTTTCGTACTGGAAACAACCTCCGAACGGCCAGCTCGTGAACTGTGCCTTCCAGCATCCAGGAGGTATGCACCGATTTAGCACCACTAATTTCCATTTGCTTGGTTCACTGAAAGAGGCATTACGTGCGAAGAAGTACAAGGATAACGAGCATGTCAAACAATTTGTGGGAAATTGCTTCAAACACCAAGTACAAAATAAAGTTCTTTGTAGACGGTATAAAAAAGCTGGTAACGCGTTGGGCCACGTGCATAAATGTTGGTAGGGATTATATTGAAAAGTAGGAAAACTTCTGTTGTGTAAAAATAAAGGTTTTTTTCTTTAGGCAAATTTCTCTCTTTAATTATTGAATGCTCTTCGTAATTTTATCCAGATTTCCAGTTTTGATTTCCAGTTCCGATTCTGATCAGCCACGCTTCAGAGTGGGAGTACCCAGAAGGGGTAAATTCCGAAAATGTAATAAAAGGTTTAAAATGAATCATTTTGTAAAATATGTCTTAAAAACACACTATCTCGTATTCTCTTAGGCACTAGAAAACCTGGTTTTAAAGACGCAACGTTTCAGACCGAAAGGAAAGCGTAAGTAGCAATGGTACAGGTGGTACGTGCATCTGCTTCGTTTCCAATATCATAATCTTCTATATTTTTTTCGTCATAAATCCCTTTGAAGCTGGCTTGCAGGTGCCTATCCATTAGTACCACCATTACGTGCATAGGCAGGCACATAGGGGGGTCCAGGCGGTAGTGACCCCCCTGAAAAGTTGGCAAGAGACCCCGAACCCCTAAGTCACTGTAGTTCGATAAATATGGTCAATTCGTTATTTCCCCCTTCTTTACGCTGACAATTTGGAGAATTGGTGCAGATTTGGGGAAGAGGTTCTCTAAATCATGAACAACCCCGTAAATGGTTCAAAATATAAAAGCAATTCTGTTTATTGTATCGTTATAATTACAATTTAATTCTCCTTGTACTCGTAGTATGGTTTATTTATTCCCTAGTAATATGTCTTATATGTAAATAACGAAGTTTGATGGAAAATGGACCCCCACTCTTGTTTTAGGCTGTCCAGGCCTGTGAAGAACTATCAGTTGTACCATTAAAAACTTGGGCATCAAAATTCTATCTCCCTCTTAGTGCTGCAACTAACACATTTTCACTGGGAAAATCAGCCTTCCCACAACCAAGAATTAAAACCCGTCATGCTAATGACTTGTTACATCCTCCATAATTTGCTGATAATAATTACAAACTGTGTACATAATTATTCAAATTATAAACATGTAATAACTCAATGAAATGTCTATAAAAAATAAAATAGAAAAATTATTGTCTAAATTGTCCCTAAAAGAAGTAACCTCCGAAATGTTCAGGTTAATTGTGTAATGAAAAAAATGCAATTTCCATACGTATAAACTCTATATGGAAAACAATTATGTATATATGAATACCCTTGAAAGATTAAATAAGTCGAACAAGGATTAATAAATTTAAAAGAAAGGCCTTGATTACAGAATGTTGTGTCGACATCTTTTTTTACAAACATAGCACTACACGTATATTAACGTGTTTCCTTGCAGCATTATATGCAGGGGGGGGCGGATGTTAATGTATCCGTGGCGCCCTCTCGCCCCTTCTCCGCCGGTCCAACCTCGTGACACGGGGTCAGCCGGACCTGGCGCTTTCCAGCGCGCGCGTCTTCGTCATAATCGCCGCGTGCGCAAATCAGCGGATTCGGACGAGCCGCACGAAAGACGCAACCTTGATTTGCGGGAGATCACGGAGAAAGGGGAGGCCGTGAATAATAAACATGTTCTGCTTGCAGCGCTAGTTGACAGTGCGTCAGTTATGACCGTTGACCCGGCAGCCAGTGTAAGGAAGACGTGGAATCGTTATAATTAATTAATATTCGAAAGTAGAATAGTTTTGTTGGTCAGGGAAACAATTTTGTAGCAATACAAAACGAAGGTCGGACTAGAAAATATACCACAGAAAATAAAGTTTCATTATTTTTAGTATGGACACGTTTAAAAGTAAAAACGAGCTATCTGACGCATTGCTTCTTCTGATTGTTGGGGTAGATTTTGTTGTTGAAATGTAATGAGGAAAAGTTGTAAGAGTTCAAATTATGCTTTTGAAAGTGCCAAAAAACAACAAAAAACATGATCCTTAGTATCATCTACTAGCAAGACGTTCCTAGATAATCCAAGAATATAAATAAACCGTACAACGTGATAGTACCTGTTTCAAGAAAGGATACTTGGAGAGGATACTAGTTTCAAGAAAGGAGAAAGTGTAAAATTGAAACCTTTAAATTTTTTCAGAAAATACGTGCAATTTGTGATAGATTGAATATGTCTTCCTTGAATTAAATTCGAAAAACCATTTTGTATGTATTTTGTTTGTAAAATATTATTATAAAATACGAAAAATGAATGTTTGAATTCCTAATTTATTTACTGCCAATTCCTTAATTGTAGATAAATGAATTCTTTTTTTTATCGATTTCTTATTAATGATAATTCTGTTTGCTTGAAAAAAATGATTTCAATTTTTAATTTTTTTTTTCGATTTATGAATTCATGAAAATCTTTATTTAGTTGATTATTTTATTACGAACATATTATTTATTGCTATTTGCAATTAATAATAATTTCGATAATAATAATAGCAATAATGATTAATAATAATAATAATAATAATAATAATAATAATAATAATAATAATAATAATATCCATATTTCACCTGTGGCCTCCCTAATGAAAATTTGAATATCATGGCTACGCCCAGGTTTGTTTTTGTGAATGTATTATACAAATTTAATAACGGTTCCACACAAATGAATGATGATCTTGTGCTTTTGTTTTCGACAATACGATCAATTACAGCAAGTTCGCTGATCCTTATTAATTGACTTAATTTTTATAATCAAAAATTCTTGATAAATGTATATCATATCAGTATGATTGAAACGTGTTTTTTAATATTTTTTCTATTAAGATTCGGTGTGGTTAAGAAATACGTGTCGATATTATACTATTCAATGAAATTATATAACTCTATACATATTAAACGTCATAATAATGTACCGCACCTTTCACACTAATCAATGCAACATACAAAATCAATACTGAATGTTTCTATCATAAGTAGTTTTCTTCAACAATGCGGAAGTGTGTCAGGATGGCCGAGC